TACTTTTAGGAAGGGACTAAATACTTGAGAGACAGCTGCCCAGCAGGGTTGTTTGCTGTCATTAATGGTACAAGAAACGTATATGTACTTCTATGGTGTGTATGTGTGTGTGTGTGTGTGGTGTTGGTATATATAGACAAACCTTTAACTCTTGGAGGCTACTTTGGTTTCCTTTATTGGATATAACCTACAGTAGGAAATAAAATGCCATAAATCCTTGTTTCCAGGGTTACCTTCTTGTTGCTGATAACAGGCAGGAAATTAAAACAATCTATGATAGTGCTTTGTTCTTATTAGCCACAGATGGTAGCTTTCAGATATGTTGAAGCAAAACATAAATATAGCAGGGGAACTTTATTACTGTTGAAGAAAAATGATTTGGCCAGGTCAAGTTTATAGTCTGGGTTCATTTTAATGAAATGGGACGTAGGGAACATTAGTGTTTCGTTACCACACAAGCAGCTGGACGTGTAAGGGACACTAGTTTTGTTCCTTTTGATTTAACTTGGAATATGTAAAGCATACATGATTTCAAAGTGAAAACTATAACCAATTTATTCAAATATGTTTCACTTCCATCCATATCTCTTCTCTGCTGTTAGTCCTTTATGGGTAATCATTTTTATTCACTTTTTGATTTATTCTTTTAGTGTTTGCTTTTGAAGATAATCATAGGTATGTGTGTATGTTCCCTTTTTCTACTTTCTTTACACAAAAGGTTGCATATTATACTATAATTTTCTAAAAAAATTATTTAAAAAAATTAGCTCTATTGAAGGATATCTTTAATTCATTAAAATTCAACAACATTGTGTGTATGATCTGAGTTTTGACAAATACAGTTGTATAGCCACCAGTGCGGCAAAGATTGTTTGCATCAGCCAAAATAGTTTCCTTTTACTCTTTTGTAGCCAATTCTCTGCCCCACCTTTCTGGTCCCTGATAAACCACCTGTCTGCTTGCCAGCGTGGTATCTGCCTTTCCCAGAACCTCAGACATAGTTCTGTGTGTGTGCATGTGGCTTATTTCACTTGGTGACAGATTCAACCCTGTTAGTACAGGTACTGGAAATTATTCCGAGTAGTGCTCCATTGTTTATACATTCTATTGATAAATGATGCCTTTTTTTAAAGTTTTTATTTTGAAATAATTTTACTTATTTAATTATTTTGATTTGGGGGGTGGTGGTATGGTAAAGAAGGAAAATTTATTCAGCGCAAAACAGCTCAATTTGAAACAGCATGGCTGTGAAAACAGCACAGCGATAGCATGGCCCTGGGGCCAGGCCTCTCTCCGGTTGGACAGCTCTGTTTGCTCCTCGATGGTCTGCTCTGTTCCGCTACTCCATGAGATAATTTTAGACCTAGAGCTTAATAACAACGACAGTACAGAGAGTTTCTGTCTACCCTTTCCCAGCTTCCTGTAATGTTACCAACACTTAAGAACTTAATTTTGGTACAACTACTATTGCCAAATCTAATAGGATATTAGATTTTTCATTGCATTTAGATTCCTCTAATCTGTGACAGCTTCTCAGTCTTCCCATGTCTTTTTTTTAAATTTATTTTTTATTAAATTATTATCTGTGTACATATACCATTGACCCCCTCTCCTCCCATACATACCCTCCCTCCCCAGAGTTTTGTGTCCGTTGGTTGTACTTATATGCATGTATACAAGTCCTATGGTTGATCTCTTATCTTCCCCAGATCTCCCTACCCTCCATGCTGTAATTTGACAGTCTGCTTGTTGCTTTACTGTCTCTATATCTATCTTTTGGTTCATCAGTTTATAATGTTCTTTATTATTCATAAATGAGTGAAGTCATGTGGTGTTTCTCTTTCATTGACTGGCTTATTTCACTCAGCATGATGTTCTCCAATTCCATCCAGGTTGCTGCAAATGATGAGAATTCCTTCTTTTTTGTGGCAGCATAACATTCCATTGTGTAGATGTACCATGTCTTTTTTTTTTTTTTTTTAAAGTATCTTTATTGTTGGAAGTATTACAGATGTCTCCTTTTATTTCACCATTGACCTCCTCCACGTCCCCCTGCCCCTCCATAACTTCAACACACACTTGTCTCTGTCCATGGGTGGTAATATGCATATAAATTCTTTGGTTAATCTCCCCACTCCCTTACCCCACCTTCCCTCTGACACTCATCAGTCTGTTCCATGCTTCTATGTCTCTGGATCTATTTTGTTCATTAGATTCCACATATGAGTAAATTCATATGATACTTGTCTCTCTCTGTCTGAATGTCTTGGCTTAGCATAATACTCTCCAGGTTCCTCAAGGGGCAAGAGACTCTTCTATTTTATAGCTGCACAGTATTCCAGGATGGTATTATTTTGAAATAATATTGCTACCAAGATGTCTGAGATTTTGCTGCCTATGGTTTCTTCTAGGATTTTTATGGTCTCACGACTTACATTTAAGTCTTTTATCCATTTTGAGTTTATTGTGTGTGGTATAAGTTGGTAGTCTAGTTTCATTATTTCCATGTACCTGTCCAATTTTCCCAGTACCATCTATTGAAGGAACTGTCTTGACTCCATTGCATGCTCTTGCCTCCTTTGTCAAATATTAATTGAGTGTAATGGCTTGGGTTGATTTCTGGGTTCTCTAGAAAAGATCGATCTATCTATCTATCTATCTATCTATCTATCTATCTATCTATCTATCTGTTGCTCTTGTGCCAGGACCACTTTCCATGTCTTTTAAAAGAGTACTTATTTAGGTATTTTGTAGAATGTCCCCCCATCTGTCTGGTGATTAGATTGCAGTTACAGATTTTTTTGGAAGAATACCAGAGAGGTGGGGTGCCCTTCTCATATTATATCAGGAGCTACACACTATTAAATATGTCTTATTACTGCTCACTTGCTTATGATACTCTCTGCCAGATTTCTCCACTATAAAGTTACTATTTTTCCTGTTCTGTAGTTGGTTTTTTAGAATCAAAATTATTGCTTTTTAAATTCTGGTGTACATCAGTGTGCATGGGACACATAGTTTGGCAACACCCTCCATCCTTTTTTTTTTTTTTTTTAACATCCTCAATCTTAATTGTACTCATAATAATAACAGCTACCACTTACGCACCTGCATAGTTCTAAACCCATGTAGATTACCTAATTTAATCCTTAGGAGCTGTGAAGGAGCACTTTTTTCATGCCCATTTTACAGCTGAGAAGACTGAGGTACAGAGTGTCTTGCTTAAGGTATAGTTAGTGATGGAGCTGGATGCTTACTTAGCCTAACCTGAGGGCTGGCTTTTCACATGGGCCCTCTGGTTGTTGTCAGAGCTTAGAAGGGGGACATTCTCATTCTTTGCCAAGAAAAACAGATGAGAACTTCCTTTGTTCGACAGTTCTCTTTTGTGCATTTTAAAAATATATATATATTTTATTGATTTTTTTTACAGAGAAGAAGAGAGAGGGATTGAGAGTTAGAAACATCGATGAGAAAGAATCATCAATCAGCTGCCTCTTGCACCCCTCCCCCCCACTGGGGATGTGCCCGCAACCAAGGTACATGCCCTTCACCGGAATCGAACCCAGGACCCTCTGGTCTGAAGGCCGACACTCTATCCACTGAGCCAAACCGGATTTGGCATTGTGCTTTCTTTAAGAAATATTTTCATTTGTTGGCTTTTGCTTTCAGGAAGATTCCTTGCGTAACTGATTTTAGTAAGCCGTGCCTGGCACTATTACACTAAAATCTTGGAGAAATCCAGTCTACGCTGAGGAGCACTAAGGATCTATTTTTAGACTTCATTCAGAAATATGACTGCAGGTTATTTAGGGCGGAATATTCAGAATAGAAATCTGCTTTTGGAGGAGTGCTTACCCAAAGAGAGGCACTGAGCCCTCTCCTCCTGGATTTTACCAGCTTCTCCTAATGGAGGTCGTGTTTGTGGGTGTGTGTCTAAGCCCCACTTGTTCACTTTTGTTGACCACGCTTAATGACTTTTCTACTACACAGTCAAATGTGTCTCTGAATAGCCTGACTCCAGGGACACTAAGTGGCTGGATGGTGACTCAGTATCTGTGAGCCTCTGTTGTAGTGGCAGTGGGACCTTGGAAGGTGGGGCTGTGTGGGTGGACGTTTGCACATCTTCCTGGTGACTCACTCTGCAGCCTGCCTTTCTGAGGAGAAGTAGCTGTAGGTGGCTGCAAAGCTCTACTCAGCTTCTCTCTCCTGTGTGCAGACTGGGCATCCCCAAGTCCTCGAAATCACTCAGCTCAGTGTCTTGAATGTACCTAGTTTTCCAAATGTCCTCAAATCAGTGCAGTTTTTAAAAATAGAAGTGTTTTGTTTCTAAGTGTCTGTTGTATGTCTGGCCATATGTGCCAGAGTCCACAGGTTAAACAAAACATGGCTCATTACCCAGAGAGCATACTCACAAAGACAAGCATACTCACAAAGACTAGCATTTATTTCCCTTGGAAGGAGAAAGGCAGTATTTAGAATAAGCCTGATTCTTGCATATAATAACTATAAATTTTATGAGTAGTAAATTATTTGAGGGATTAAGAGAGGTGAAGTTTATAGGTGTGTGGATCTGGCCTCAGAAGTCAAAGACTAAGGATTTTATTTTTCTCAGATATGGTTTTCTTCACATCCATTATAGAGGAAGTGTGAGGTATAAAAAAAATGTAAGAAAGAGAGTGAAAAGGTCCTATTTTTCTCACCAGAAATAGCCACTCTTTTGTTTTGCATAATTTCTCCTTCCCTTCCATCTCTCATATATATTTGTAATCCTGAATTTTTTATGTAATATTATATCATAAAAAATTTCCCCCCATAATTTAAAGAAAAATACTTTGCTAATTTGATGGGAGAAAAGAACTAATTTTAATTGGCATTCCCTTAATATTGTAGTAAGGATTAATGGGATTGTCAGTTTATTTATCTCCAGAGATTGTCAGGTTTTCTGCTTTGTATCTTTTCACAAAATTGGAAATGTTACTAAAGCAAGCCTCTGATTTCAGATGTTCTAAACGATGCTATATTTGATGAAGATCACGATGAGATGGTGATTGTGAAGGACATAGATATGTTTTCCATGTGTGAACATCATCTAGTTCCATTTATTGGAAAGGTAAGGTTTTCTCTGTTGTTTTTTAACAATCTAAAAAAAAAAAACAAAAAAAAACACACAACACAATTCAAGCTTTAAAATTGTCACCTAATCCCAAATATCCCAGATATTTACAATAAACTTTTATTCTTCACCTACCTGACTAATCTAATTGCTTGAAATTAACAAAATATAAACAGTGACAGAAGGCCCTCAGGGAAAGGATTTCATTGCAAATGCCATGTTAACAGGGTTAAAGTAATGAGATTAAAGTCTCTCTTTTTTTTCTAGGTAGTTGCTGCAGGCTCTGAAAACCTTTGTGTCCTTTATTTTGACTAAATAATGTTTGACTCAAGATAGACTTTTAAAAAGTCTTATTTATTGGTTTTGAGGTAGAGAGAGACATTGGTTTGTTGTCCCACTATTTTATGCATTCATTGGTTAATTCTTGTGTGTCTCTGACCAGGGCTTGAATCCACAACCTTGGAGTCTCAGGATGGTGCTCTAGCCAACTGAGTTACCTGGCCAGGGCCAAGAGAGACTTTGGTATAATATGACACGAGCTGTAATGATGCAGAATTTTTTGCAGCAGAGGTTACAGTTCTAGTGGATTTAATTTGTTTCCAACCCTTTCTGTGTTCAGAAAAGTGTGTCTGATTCTAACTAGATAATGTCATCTAGCTTGGAGTTAACATACCTTTGAGAACTTATGGGTTTAGGACCTAGAATTGTCCATTCTCTTCCCTTCCCCTATATAAAAAATTTTATTTTGACGATTTATTAATAATTGTCTAACAGAAGATGTATAGGAAACAGTATTGTGAATGCCTATATACTCATCACCTAAATTTAATATTTTTGTTAAAGTATTTTGTATTTTTAGTTTTTATAGAAGTAAAACAGAAAAGTGCCCAGAACATATCCAGATCCAGAACTAGAACAGCTCAAGCAGTAGAATGTTGTTAGCATTCCTGAAAACTCACCTTGTGGCCCTGTTCTAATTCCTCACCCACCTCTGGTCCACACAGGTGATTAGTTTTGCTGTTTTTTAACTACAGTCATGTGCTGCGTAAGGACTTTTGGGTTAATTAAGGAACCCAAAAGATAATAATGGACCTGAGAAATTCCTATCTTAGTGATACCTTATCTCTTATCAATGCAGGAGACAATGTCTTAAATCTGCTTAACAACCTTTCCCTTGTGACTGTGCCTTTCCTGGTCCCCCGCAACTGACTCTCCTACCCCTACTATTTTCTTTTTTCTTTCTATCTTTTTTTTTTTTTTTTTTAAATATATTTTATTGATTTTTCACAGAGAAGAAGAGAGAGGGATAGAGAGTTAGAAACGTCAATGAGAGAGAATCATCAACCAGCTGCCTCTTGCACCCCCCTTACTGGGGATGTGCCCACAACCAAGGTACATGCCCTTGACCGGAATCGAACCCAGGACCTTTCAGTCCACAGGCCGACGCTCTATCCACTGAGCCAAACCGGTGCCGGCCCTACTGTTTTCTTTTGTTGTCAGCTGAATATGGTATTTGAGATGGTGGCTTTGCGAGTTCTCCGTTTTCCTGGGTGTCTCTCATGCATCAGAAGATATACGTGTCATTAAACTTTGTTTTTCTCCTGTTAATCTATCTTTTATTACAGGGAAGTCTCAGCCAAGGACCTAGAAGGATAGAGGGGAAAAATATTTTTCCTCCCCCACGGGGAAATAGTCTAGGTGTGTGGTGGGCTGTACCATCTAGGTTTGTGTGAGTGCATTGTGATGTTCACACAACCTAGATGGCCTACGGACGCATTTCTTAGTACTTGCCTCTGTTAAGTGGCACATGACTATATATATATATATATATATATAAATGGAAAGAACCTACAGCACGTGTTCTGTATCTGGCTTCCTTTGCTCCACATTGCAAGTCATTGATGTCATGGCCTATTGCTGTAGTTCGTTTCGTTTCACTGCTATATATTATTCCATTACGCACAAATACCATCTATTCTGTTCATAGGGAGTTAGTGACTTGGCTGAGGCCAGACCCAGGAGCTTGATTCTGGACTCAGTCTCTCACCACTTCTCAAGGGGTCTCAGACCTAATTCCAACATGGCGAGGTTGAGAATAGAAGGGAATTCCCCACACCAACAAATCATTCCAGAAAGCCAGCAAGGTATCTAAGTATTCAACTCAATTCTCATCTGTTTACCCGGAGGTGGGTAGCATTAGAGACCACAAGTTATGGGCTTAGTTCTAGAATGCCCAACTCCGTGCCCACCGCCCCCTCTCTCTCCCCCCAGCCCTCAGTCAGGAGGCCCATCCTGCCAACACACACACTTCAGGAGCCAGCTGAAAACCCAGGTTCTGATCTGTGCTTCGGACCAGCTGGCTACAGATTGGAGGTTCTGGCAGCCCCCTCCTTGGGTTTGATTAATTTGCTAGAATGGCTCACAGGTACTCAAAGAAACATGTTACTTACTCGGTAACTGGCTTATTGGGGACAGATATAACTCAGAACAGCCGTGATACGGGAGGAGCATAGGAAGGGACACAGGGCTTTCATGCCGTTCTCCCCACAGGCCCATGCATTCAGCAACTGGGAAGCTCTCTGCTTGTGTGGTTATGGAGTCTTCATTGTATAGTCACGATTGATTAAATCATTGGCCATTGCCAATAGACCCAGCCTCCAGCCTCTCTCCCCTCCTCTCCTGGGTGGTATGTGTGGAGGTGGGGTGGGACTGGAACTTCCAATCCTTTCATCACCTAGTAGGCTCCATTGGCAACCAGGTCCCATTCTTAGGCGCTGTCCAAGCTACTTCATTAACATAACAAAATATACTCTCCCCTCCCCCTCAATACCTGAGAAATTCCAAGAATTTTGGGAACTATGAGTCAGGAATGGTGGATGAAAACCAAATACATACTTTTTCCTAATCACAGTATCTCACTGCTATACCATGTTGCTTTCTGCTAAGAGCACCTCTGTGTTTGTGTTTTTGCTAATTCTGTTTTAAATACAGTATTCAGTGGTGATTTTCTAAAATGGACATTTAAATGACTTAGGATCTTTAGGAAGATAAAAAATAGTACAAACAATGCACAGATTATAGCTCTGCATGCTAGTATGAACATTTCAAGTGGTGCAAAGGCCTTGATTCTGTGGGAAAGTTCTAACTCACTAATTTTCTTTGAAATACCTAACATTTAGGAGCTGCTTTACTTTCTCATTCTGCTGACCAGGAAGGTGGGTATTTGCAAACTCCCACAGCATAGTGACAGTAGATGAAAAATCACTAATTATTACTAGATTAGTTATTCACATGTATAGAAAAGTAGGTGAACAAATGCAACAAATGCTGGCTCACCATGATGCAAATAAGTCTATAATTTTATATTAGGTTAATTGATGGCCTACAATGAACATTTATTTACCTTTAGCTTTTATGGAGAATGAATGTTTTCTCCATACCTAATGCATAGCTCAAAGAGAAGTAACATTTACATATTAGATATTAATCAGATATTAATAGAAATGGCTTTGCTTTATAGTAGACTAGTAGCCCTGTGCATGAATCCGTGCGCCAGTAGCTCGCCAGTAGCTCGATGCCCTCCTGTAGCTCCCCCCTTTTCCCCATAGCTTGCTGCCTTGCTCTTTCCTTTAGCTCTCCACTGCCTGCTTGCAGCTCAATGCCCCACCCTCTGCTGCTCCATATCTGGTCATTATGCGATTAGTCGTTATGCTTTATGGTGTAACGACCGTTTGCATATTACATTTTTATTATATAGTATTCTATAAGAACATAAGTGTTGCTGAAACTGGTTTGGCTCAGTGGATAGAGCGTCGGCCTGCAAACTGAAAGGTCCCAGGTTCGATTCCGGTCAAGGGCATGTACTTTGGTTGCGGGCATATACCCAGTAGGGGGTGTGCAAGAGGCAGCTGATCAGTGTTTCTCTCTCATCGATGTTTCTAACTCTCTATCCCTCTCTCTTCCTCTCTGTAAAAAATCAATAAAGTATATTAAAAAAACACACACACACACACACCAAAAAAAACATAAAGTGGTAGGATCCAGGCTCTTGTAGTCACATTTGCATCTGGGCTCTTCTGGCACTCTCCAGCAGCTTAGAAATGAGGCCCCCATGCATGACAAAGGGCGTGGAACCTCTCTTTCTGTACAATGGGGTGGGATTGTTTAGGCTACAGTGATGTGTGGAATGACAATTTTTAAAAAAATATATTTTATTGATTTTTTACAGAGAGGAAGGGAGAGAGATAGAGAGCTAGAAATGTCGATGAGAGAGAAACATCGACCAGCTGCCTCTTGCACACCCCCTACCGGGGATGTGCCCGCAACCAATGTACATGCCCTTGACCGGAATCGAACCTGGGACCTTTCAGTTCGCAGACCGATGCTCTACCACTGAGCCAAACCAGTTTCGGCTGGAATGACAATTTTTAAAGTTATAGTTTCAACCATTTCTAGGAGACTTTTATGGCTCCATTAAAAAAATGTTTTTATTGATTTTAGAGGGAGAGATAGAGGCATCGATGAGAGAGGGACATTGATTGGCTGCCTCCTGCACTCCCCTCACTGGGGATCAAGCCTGCAATTGGACGTGTGCCCTGACCAGGAATTGAACTGGGCACCTGTTGATTCATGAGTTGATGCTCAACCACTGAGCCACACTGGTTGAGCCCTGCCTACAGTTTACTGTTGCTACAAGATGATTTACACTTTTTTGATGTTTCCCCTCAACAGAGGAAAGACTTTAAGGACTGTAAAGAGAATTTAACTTCACCAGGAAATACCATGACTATATTCATAGAATCATTATTAATAGAATCATTCTTATATATTTTCCTCTTACTGCATTTATGTGAATTTTAAATGTCTACCTATGTGCTCTATTTTTTAAATCTTATGTCTTCTAGATGTTTGAAAGAAACATTTTCATGAGTTGAATTTCATAAAAGCATTCTGTATTATGTCTCCTTATTTCCTTATTTTGTCACAAGAAAGCGCTGTATTTTCACTTAGCTCATCATTTCTGTCTCTTCTCCGAAGGTCCACATCGGTTACCTTCCCAACAAGCAAGTCCTTGGCCTCAGCAAACTTGCGAGGTAAGTATGACTGCGCGGGAATAGGAAAGCAGGCTTATAGGACCTGGGCCTGCACAGCGAGGATCTCAGCAGGCTTTCCTTCTTGACGGGTGTAGATCGAACGTCGAGCTCTCATTGCAACTTAAAATGTATAAAGACTTAGAGGACTAAGACAAAACCTGAAATACAAATGTGCTTTTCCTCACTCCCCCATCGCCTCCCTGCCACCCCTTTCATCCACTGGCATATCCTTGAAGCCCTAGCTTACGCCTTTCTCTGTAGAGCCTTCCTGACTGGAGGACCCGAGCTCTGGTCCTTTCAGGGTGGCTTAGCTGACAGTGTGTGTGGGGAGAAAGCTGGCAGGGGTGTAACTGCACTGCACTGTTTTCAGGCTTTCCTCAAACAACCATCATGTGGGGTTTCAGCCCGGCCTTCAGGCATCTCTCTGGTCCTGCAGGGCCAATCAGTTCACTTCTGGTTTCGTTGCCTTGGCAGACACAACAGGTCTGTGTCTTCCTCTCAGCTCTACTCCAAGAGAGTGCTTACTCTCCTCTCCCACTTCTTTGCTTTCTGCTACAGTTTCTTTTCTATTCTTTATCCTATGTGTTCATTCCCTTAAACATTTTTCTTCTGCTGTCATTTTTATTAGGGTTTTTAGGAAAGAGAGTATGGTAATCAACTAACTGACAGTCAACTTGAGGGTCCATGTTTACCTATCTTGGATAGATCCATCACCAGTATGTTAATGCCCCTTTTTGTAATTTCTCTGTATAGAAATAGTACTGAGGAAATCCTGGGAGGTGTGTGTGTGTGTGTGTGTGTGTGTGTGTGTGTGCGCGCGCGCGCGTGTGTGTTTTGAGAGAGAGAGAGTTAAGAATGAAATGAAGAAAAATAGGTAATAAATACACAGTCAAGTGCCCCCCCTCCAAAACATACTTTTTACAACAAGCCAAGCTAAGTTTTCATAGCTTGATGGAGGTTATAGTGACCATATCAAAATTGGTCATGATCCTGTGACTATTCTGTGGCTCTGAGGTGTTTCTGCTTCTTCCCCACCTGGACTGAGTTTTGCCTCAGTCCTGAAATGATCCAGATCTTTTTCAATTCCATGTCGATACTGTAAAAACCACCCAACAGTCTGGCAGTTGCCTTCCATGGCTGTTCTTTTTAACTCTCTTTTCACTCATTTCCTCTAGGGTAGAAGGAGAAAGTAAGTAGAAGAGAAAATTTTAACTTTCCTAGTGTCTGACTTTATTCTTGGTCAGTAATCTTGCCACCAGACAGAGCTCTGAAAGGATGTTATTGTTTCAGCTGTACGTGCTTCACAGCAATAAGGCTCTTAATACAAATCCAGAAACACCTTCCACCTTTCAGGGACTTGCACCCAATGGCGGTGCCAAGGGGTGACTGAGAAAGGGTATTGGTGGTGAGAGATAATGAACCCTACTGTAATTCCTATTGCCAACTCTGCATCTTCCCCATGTAGGTATTCTGGCACTGCTGGTGCCATTCACAGCCTGCCCCACTGTAAAAGGTATGTAGTGGAGAGTTTTCATATTATGAAACAGCTTGGTAGACTACATAGGTTTTGGTCTTAAGGTGAGCACCTTCTCTCAAAGACCACCATATGTAGACCATAGGTAACACTTTATGGAAGTGGGTTCCAGAGTGATCCAGTGAGATCTTGAATAAATGGTAACTTGAAAATAGAAGAAATAATCTTTGGTTATTTCCTTTCCTAGTGCAAGGAAAAGATCTCAAATAATTAGGCTTTTATGAAACAATACAAAGGAGTTGTTTATTAGCCTGGAGATTTGTCCTTAAATGAACAGGATTAAAATTTAAGAATAGGGGGGCAGGGGGAAGGAAAGCTAAACGAAAAACTGAGTGTATGTTAGTTTCAGATTTATTGTAAAAAAAAATTGAATAAAGGGTCTATGAAATGGAAAAGAAGGCTAAGTTTTAAAATATATATATTTATTGATTTCAGAGAGGAAGGGAGAGGGAGAGAGTGATAGAAACATCAATGATGAGACTGCCTCCTGCATGCCCCCTACTAGGAATTGAGCCCGAGACCTGGTCATGTGCCCTTGACTGGAATAGAACCTGGGACCATTCAGTCCACAGGCAGATGCTCTATCCACTGAGCCAAATGAGCTAGGGCAAGAAGGCTAAGTTTTTATCCAACTTGCTTATTCCTCATGAGAAGTAGGAATATTCAGGGAATGAAGAGCAATAAAGGGAGCTGAATGTCTTTGCAAAACTTCACTGTTCATTTTACTCTTGTATGTGAAGTTTGTGATGTGCTAGCCTTTAGACGAATGACCTTTCAGTGCCACAGAAGTCAAATATCATCAGCCCAACAGGAAAGCCTTAAGTGCTAAGAAAATGCCAGAAGTGAGTTGATCTGGTTGAACTTTAGTAGAATTCTAGAGTAAACCTAGTTTGAATAGAAATTCCTTTTGCTGTGCTCGCTTCTGCAGCACAAACACTAAAACCGGAACCATACGGAGAAGATTAGCACGGCCCCTGCGCAAGCATGACACGCAAGTTTGTGAAACGTCCCATATTAAAAAAAAAAAATAAATTCCTTTTGTTGTTAAAAATCCATTGAACGTGTATTACTTTTCTGGCCTTAATAACCAAGTGAACAGCGTTAAATCTTGAATTTTGAATTGCCGTGCCTCGTGGTAGCCGTGGTTAGTCTATTTATTGAGCACTTTCCAGGGAAGGACACCGTGCCAGAGAGAAGTAGAACATAGCCTTCACCCTGAAGGAGGGGGAGAGTATGAGGCAGCAGGTGCCATGCAGTCGCCTGGTTTGGAGCTCCCAGTCTAGAGGAGGCAAGGTCGCTGTGGCCTGGTGTGGTTGAAGAGACTCAGAGGTAGAGGGCTGAGAGGAATTCTAAGCAGAAGAGAAGTTAATGCCTAAGCAAAGGCAGATAAGAGGGTAGGAGCAAGGCATAGGAAACACGTCTGATTGTTAGAAATAAGAAATGTGGGAATGGGGAGATAGTTAAAAAGGCAGGGGAGGCATTAGATTACAAACAGAACATCTCCCCCCTCCTTTCTCAATTATAAAAGTACTATACATTCCAGTTAAATCTAAATTCAAATGAGTAAGTGAAAGGAAAGGAAAGTTTTTCTTTCCTATTTTTATCCCCCAGAATCAAAACCAGATATTTCTTTCACTATCCTCTGGAAAATTTCTATGAAAATACAAAAACAAAGCTCTTTAAAATGACCAAAACAAAGCCAAATAAATAAATAAATAAATAAATAAATAAATAAGGGATCATACTCTACATTTTGTACTACAACTTTTTAAATTCTATTTAAAATACATCAAAATCCCTTGTACATATTTTAGTCCCAAAAGTCCAAAGTCCTTTTTAATGGTTACATAGTATTTCATTGACTGATTAATAGAATTCACTTACCCAGTCTTTGATACCTGTAAGTATCATCTACCGTTTGAGGGTACCGTCAAGAAAGAAAAAAATGCATTTTATATGTTTGCACACTGAATGGTCTTGGGTTTCAAACCTGGTCCAGGGCACGGGTTGCAGGTTCCATAGCATTGGTAGGGGCACACCGATGTGTCTCACCTCAGTGTTTCTCTGTCTCTTCTCTTTTCCCCTCCTCCCTCCCTTCCACTCTCTAGAAATCAATGGAAAAAAATATCTCCGGTGAGGATTCAAAATAATTATACTAATTAAACAAAATAAAAAACATATATATTGGAGTTCCTTCAATGTTGTTTGCCTGCTGGGAACACAGAAGAATCAGGTTGAGCAGTGACTAGGGAAACCCACCATTTATTGACTTTATTTGCTGTAACAGGTATAAAGGTGCAAGTTGTCAGTTCTATATGAGGGTCATATTGGAGAGAAGAGCTTTAAAATGCCACATAGACGAGGTGAACCTGGAGTCCAAATTCACGACTAAAAGGCCACGTTTTAAAGAAAAGGTCCTCAGTGTGAATTATTATTCTAAAATGGGTGATTCACAGCGTTGGCCAGATTGCTCGGTTAGTTAGACCATCATCCTCGTTACGTCAAGGTTGTGGGTTTGATGCCTGGTTCGGGCACAGACAAAAAGCAACCAAATGAATGCATAAATAAGTGGGATAACAAAGAGATGTTTCTCTTTTTCTTTCTCTCCCTTTCTCTAAAAATCAATAATAAAAGAGAAAGAAATAGGAAGGGTGTAGCCATCTTTACATTTCACAACTAGAGTGAAAGCTGTTGAGAGAAGAAAAATCATCCTTTGACAGATTGTGTTATAAGCTAAGATCAGTCAGCTTTTATTTTGGGAGGGGGTTAATTATCTTGATTGCTCAGATGGACCTATTATGTAAAGAGGTGTCTGTTCAATTCTAATCTGATTATCATAATAGGTTTAGTTGGCACAGTAGTTGACATTGGTCTAGCTATTAATGAACAAATATTTATTTTTAACTTGAACTTTTAGCTCTGATTAAACAATCTGTTTAATTAGAACACTTGAGCCCTAGCTGGTTTGGCTCAGTGGATAGAGTGTCAGCCTGCGGACTGAAGGGTCCTGGGTTCAATTCTGGTCAAGGCACATGCTGGGTTGCAAGCTTGATCCTCAGGAGGGGCTTGCAGGAGGCAGCTGATCAATGAGTCTCTCTCATCATTGATATTTCTGCCTCTCTCTCCCTCTTCCTTCCTCTCTAAAATCAATAATATATATACATTAGAACACTTGAGTCTTGGCTTAGAAGTGGTGACTTGAGAGTTTTAAAATTACTATCTGTAATTGTGTTTTTCGTGAGTGAACTATATACTCTTTTTTTAAATTTTTTATTTTATTTATTTTTAATATATTTTTTGATTTTTCACAGAGAGGAAGAGAGAGGGATAGAGAGAGTTAGAAACATCGATGAGAGAGAGTCATTGATCAGCTGCCTCTTGCACACCCCCTACCGTGGATATGCCCGCAGCCAAGGTACATGCCCCTGACCAGAATCGAACTCGGGACCTTTCAGTCCGCAGACCGACGCTCTACCACTGAGCCAAACCGGTTTTGGCTGAACTATATACTCTTAATTCTCTTTCTCTTTGGGGCCATAGGGACACACCACTCTGTTCTAGTTGGTCTGGGTTAGGCCTTCCCTCTTCGTTGTCCTGAGGTTTTTATACCTTTCTGTCCTCCTGTGAGCACTGGTCTCCAGTCCACATCCTTTCATTGCTTCAATGAAGTCCTTTTAGTCTTATGAGGAAGCCTTAGCAATTTCACTTTAAAAATTTTATCATTAACTAAAACAAATCTTTCTTTTTTTTTTTTTTTTTTTAGGATTGTAGAAATCTATAGTAGAAGATTACAAGGTAAATTTTAAAACTTTTTTTACTGAAAAAAATTTTCTTATTGTTCTTATAATACACATGACTTAAAAAATTAAAACCTCCTAGGAATATAAAACAGAAAATGTTTACTGTATACATTCCTTTACTCTTTTATGCATATCCAAATGTTTTAAAAGAAATTTATTTTATTGCATTTTAAAATGGGCTCATATTATACATAATGGGCTTCACTTCTCTTTTTTCCCTATCTCCCCCCCCCCCACTTACATCTTAAACATTTCCCCCCACAGACATGTAAGTATCTCATTTGTTTTGCCCACTGTTCAGCGTCCCATTGCACATTGTGCTGCGGCTTCATTTAATCACCCCTGCTCTGATAGACAACTTGGGAGATGTGTCAGCTTCCCAAGGGGTGCAATGCTGCCGCGAATGTATGTCTTCAGAGATCAGCTGTGTATTCAGCACAGGAACTGCATTCTCGAGGTTAAATCACCAGTTTTCAGCATCGCTCTGACTACAATTCAATAGTCACACTGTCACCCCCTTGTGAATCCTGTTGCCGAACTATTTTTTCCTTTGCTCTGCTCTCCTCTGTGGAGGTGCTTGTTACCAGTCTCCTGTTGGTCTTGCTGCACCCCCGAGAGACAGTTGCTGCTCTAATCCTTCCCCTCCAGGGGTGCTGGAGGGCACCCACCTTCCTGAGCTCTGGGCAGCACCTGCACTGAGGGCCGGGCCTGGGACAGGGGCCTCCTGTGGCCCAGGTAGCAGACAAAGCCAGCTGCTAGAAGCTGCTGCGTCTCGGCGTTTACATCCCTCGGAAGTCTGCATTTTGAGGTTTTTATATGTTCTAGAGACAGCAAAAACGTTCAGCTGTTTGTGCGAGACACTTAAACTGAGCTCCCTGTCACATCCACAGTTCAAGAGCGCCTTACAAAGCAGATTGCCGTAGCAATCACGGAAGCCCTGCGGCCTGCTGGAGTCGGGGTCGTGGTTGAAGCAACGTAAGTCCGTGTTTGCTTTTAATAACGTCATGGTGGTGCCTGAACGGATATTCATTTCACTTACCGTGTTGCCACTGTGGGAACTAGGGCACGGGAGGCTGTTGTGTGTGTGTGAGTTTGGGGGCGGGGGCTGTGGGAGAGTAGGGAGTCCTGAGCTTAGGCGTAGTGGTTCGCACAGGCAGTAGCGTTGTATATCTTCTCTTGATTTTGTCTTTAGCTCTTTGTTGCTCCAAGCAGAGTTTTTCTAATATTTTGGCACATATTTAAAAAAATAGAACTAAGAGTAGGTTCAAAGGGCACCAGAAGACACTTCTTTCAGTGAGAAGGCATTGTGAGAATCGCATGCAGCTTGTGGGCAAAGTTCCCACCCCTTCCCCCGCATGGCACGGACTCTGTACTGTGCGTGCTCTCCAGCTTTGCCAGTTCACTCACACTCAACTGTGGTCAGTGTCCTGGATTCTGGCTGGTGAGCCCAGTGTACTTCACCATTTCTCTGAACCCCTCAGCTAGCATAATGCTGTCTTGGTCATGAAAACAGAAGTGAGAACTTTGGATTTCTTCTTATCTTGAGCTTGTATCTCCATGGACCACTTGTATTATTTTCACCTAGGAAGACTGTCCCATTGTCCCCTCTCCTGTTGGATGCTGTAAGGGTTCGACCACTGAGAAGAATAAAAGATATTAAACTAAAAAATTTTTAAAAAATATATATATTTTTAGCCCTAGCCAGTTTGTCTCAGTGGATAGAGCGTCAGCCTTTGGACTGAAGGGTCCCGGGTTTGATTCTGGTCAAGGGCACGTGCCTGGGTTGCAGGCTCAATTCCCACTAGAGGTTGTGCAGAAGGCAGCTGATCAATGATTCTCTCTCATCATTGATGTTTCTCTCTCTCCCTCTCCCTTCCTCTCTGAAATCAATAAAAATATATTTTAAAAGAAAATAAAATAAGTAAAAAAGAAGGAACTTTATTTTTTTTTATTTATTTATTTTTTAAATTTTTAAATCAATCTTTATTGTTCATATTATTACAAAGGTTCCTCATTTCTTCCCCCCTCCACCAGGTTCCCACCCCACCCTCCGCCCCCCCCCCCATCCCCCATTGTCCTCATCCATAGGTGCAGTTTATGTTCAGTCTCTTCTTCCCTCAATTTCCCCAATAGTAAATCCCTTTTCAGATAGTAAATCAGTTACTTATCATTTTCTCATATCAATAATACCTCCACATGCCCAATGATACACTTCACACAAAAGACATTTCCCAATAGGTCCACCAGCCTCATCCAGGCCCCACCCAAGGCACTCACAGATCAACACCCCAGTCCTAAACTAACTCAACACATCCAGATCTAAGCCTTCATCACTTGATTCAGCAGACCCTCAAGTTCCCACGAAAGATTCCAGCCATGTCTGAGAAGCAGCCGTGGGGCAGGGGCAGGCAAGGAGCGAGCTGTTCTGGGCCTGGCTGCTCAGGGCCTGGCCTCTGTTGCTCTGGTTCATTGCACAACCAGCTGCTCCGGATCTGGTCACTGCCGCTCCCGACCTAGTTGCTCTGGACTTGGCTGCTGCTGCTCCGGGCCTGGCCGCTCCCAGCCTGGCAGCCGCTGCTCCGGGCCTGGCCGCACCAGCCCCGCCTGCTCCCCCGGGCCTGGCCGCTCCCAGCCTGGCAGCCGCTGCTCCGGGCCTGGCCGCACCAGCCCCGCCTGCTCCCCCGGGCCTGGCCGCTCCCAGCCTGGCAGCCGCTGCTCCGGGCCTGGCCGCACCCGACCCGCCTGCTCCCCCGGGCCTGGCCGCTCCCAGCCTGGCAGCCGCTGCTCCGGGCCTGGCCGCACCAGCCCCGCCTGCTCCCCCGGGCCTGGCCGCTCCCAGCCTGGCAGCCGCTGCTCCGGGCCTGGCCGCACCAGCCCCGCCTGCTCCCCCGGGCCTGGCCGCTCCCAGCCTGGCAGCCGCTGCTCCGGACCTGGCCGCACCAGACCCGCCTGTTCCCCCGGGCCTGGCCGCTCCCAGCCTGGCAGCCGCTGCTCCGGGCCTGGCTGCACCCGACCCGCCTGCTCCCCCGGGCCTGGCCGCTCCCAGCCTGGCAGCCGCTGCTCCGGGCCTGGCCGCACCCGACCCGACTGCTCCCCCGGGCCTGGCCGCTCCCAGCCTGGCAGCCGCTGCTCCGGGCCTGGCCGCACCCGACCCGACTGCTCCCCCGGGCCTGGCCGCTCCCAGCCTGGCAGCCGCTGCTCCGGGCCTGGCCGCACCCGACCCGACTGCTCCCCCGGGCCTGGCCGCTCCCAGCCTGGCAGCCGCTGCTCCGGGCCTGGCCGCACCCGACCCGACTGCTCCCTCGGGCCTGGCCGCTCCCAGCCTGGCAGCCGCTGCTCCAGGCCTGGCCGCACCTGACCCGGCTGCTCTGGGCCCGGCTGCCCCGGGCCCGGCCGCTCCGAGCCTGGCCACTCCCGACCTGGATGCTCTGGGCTTGGCTACTGCTGTTCTGGGTCTGGCTGCTCCCACCCCGGCTGCTCTGGGCCTGGCTTCTTCGGGCCTGGCCACACCGGGTCTGGGTGTTCCTGGACTGGCCACCCTGGGCTTGGCCGCCTCCGCCTCATGCCTGGCTGCCACTGCCCCAGGTCTGGCTACTCCAGTGCTGGCTGTTGATGCTCTGGTTCTGGCTGCTGTTGTTCTGGGGCCTGGCCGTTGCTGCTCCGGGTCTGGCTGCCACTGCCTTGTGCCTGGCCACTCTAGGCCTGGCCGTCGCTGTTCCAACATTCTGTCCTTTTTTTTTCTTTTTAAAACGCATTTATGTTGCAATGTTGGCTGGTGAGTTGAGTTCTGACTTAGTCTTTGATTTTTCAAGATCTTCTTTGTATTCTTTCTTAAGTAATTTTACTATTTTTTGCTCTCACTTGATTTCTTCACATTGAGAACTTCTTTGGTTTCTTCCTCCTTGTCCTGGGAGCTCAGCAGGTTGGCCTGTGGCACCCCTTTGTTCTCCGCGGGCTCCTGTGCTGCTTCAGCCTGTTGCCGGGACGGCGCCGCCCAGGAAGCAGCCCCCGGCCTTGGCTCCATTGCCCGAGCTCAGTGGTCAAAGGCTCAGGGGCACCCACGCCCCCAGGGGCCCCGCGGCCCGCCTCCTTGCTGGTGCCCGGTTGGCTGGAGTCCGGCAGGGGCTTCCGCTCCCCTCCCCGTTCCCCCAGCCTGGAGCTTTTTTTTTCTCCTTCCCGCTAGGGAAGTCCAGCATCAGAGTCAACAGACTGTCCTCTGCGCGCAGTTTGCGCGAGTCCCACAGACTGTCCTCTGCGCGCAGTTTGCGCGAGTCCCGGGGGCCCGGCCTTTCGCCGCTCTCCCCGGACTCCACCTCACAGCCCCGTCTCCCTCTGCCTGAGCCTGGGTCCCCAGGGATTGGCCCAGAACTGGGGTTCGGAGCAGTCCGGACTGAGGCTCAGCGCCGCCGGAGGCCTTGTTTCTTCCGGCGAGGGCAACCCAGCATCAGAGTCAACATTCAGTCCTCTGTGCGCATTGCGCGCGACTCCCGGGGCCCTGCCTTTCGCCGTTTTTCCACCTCACGGCCCTGTCTCCTCCCGCCGGAGCCTGGGTCCCCAGGGTCTGGCCCATAACTGGGGCTCAGCGCTGCCGGTTCGGGGGGGGGGCTCAGCGCTGCCGGTTCGGGGGTTCAGCCCAGGCTCAAAAGAAGGAACTTTAAAAAATATTTGTATTTTTGCTGAAACTGGTTTGGCTCAGTGGTGGAGTGCCGGTCTGCGGACTGAAAGGTCCCAGGTTCGATTCCAGTCAAGGGCATGTACCTCGGTTGCGGGCACATCCCCGGTGGGGGATGTGCAAGAGGCAGCTGGTCGATGTTTTTCTCTCATCGACGTTTCTGGCTCTCTATCTCTCCCTTCCTCTCTGTAAAAAAATCAATAAAATATATTTTAAAAAATTTTTGTATTTTTTTTTTTTTAGATAAAATTTATCTAAGTGACAAACATGGTTATTGTAAACCCAGTTTAATCAGATTTAACATTTTGTCCTGCTTTTTATTTTAAAACCAGACCAGTAACTGTCTATTCTCCTTTTGTTGGCTTGTTTTGCAGACACATGTGTATGGTGATGCGAGGGGTGCAGAAAATGAACAGCAAGACTGTGACCAGCACGATGTTGGGCGTGTTCCGGGAAGACCCCAAGACGCGGGAGGAGTTTCTCACCCTCATCAGGAGCTGAACTTGCAGTGTCCACCGTGTGCTCTGCAGATCACGCCTCTAGTAGCATTGGTTGTCTGGTCTTAATTGTTTGCACAATCCCCTTCTCAATCGTGAAACGTACTCCTTGACACTAATTGTGTTTAGTAATTATTTATTACAAATCAAATAAAGTTAATTTTAATGTAGGGGCGGGCCCGCTGCTTTTTCCTGCCGCTGCTTGGTGGCCACGCTCACGCACACTGCCAGTAGTGTTACGTTATCACTGCCGCTCGATAACAGAGGATGCTGGGGAGGAAGAACGTGTGTATTTTGTTCCAATAGTCTGGTGATCTGGTTCATAAGCGTATGAGTGTTGGGAATGGGAGAAAACTATGGCCAATATACCGCTTCTGCCATTCCCCCAGTCAAAGTGGTGTTAGTGCTTAAAATAAGTTATTGGACAGCTCTGCAAATTCAAAGTCCACCAGGCTCCACTTTAATCATGTTTATTAAACCGCCAGTAACGCTTTATTTTTTTTTATGTATTTATTTTTGACTGTCTAGTGGTAATGTTAGTCACCCAGGCAAGGTGGTGAATTACCTACGTTTTTTAATTTTATTTTACTGTGAGTTAAAAAGGAACATTTCTACCTTCTGTTCTTTTAAAATTCATGTCTCGGGAATTAGTTCCTGGGGTTGTTTACGAGTGTGTTCTCATGTCAACATACAGGGATTCTGACATGTAACTCTCTGTGCCTTGATGAGAATATCACACCATTTGGAGTGTAGGTACCTTTGCCTTTATTTAAAAGCCATTATTTTATGAGACTTAGTACTGACACTACAAATAACGAATCCTCTACATTCTGCCGTTTGATGTTTCTTGGGAGCTTACCTTGCGTGCTTCTTGCGGATCTCTCAAAACTTTCTTGTTATCTTCTGAGTAGTTTTTCCAGTATTCCATGAAGTTTTGAGTGTTCATCACTTTCGGGTCCACAGAACCACAGCTTCCGTGAACATGAAAGAGTGCAGAATGCACTAATGGTGGTCGGCACCGTGAGCTGCATCCCGTGTCCAATGACCTGTGGTGTCTGTGAAAAGGCACCGCAATCTTCTGGAATCTCTGGAAAATACTGGAAGCCCCATTCTGCTTTCCCTTGTGGTCCATGAAGGTCTTGTCTTCAGTGTAACTGTTCAAGTGGCCCAGGTCTTTCAGTCCAGGAAGCTGTTGCCTTATTGATGATTATCTTAAGGTCTCCTCTAGTGGAGCAGCGTTGGGCCAAAGTAAAACAATAAAATAACCCAACTCCCCTGCCAAAACACAAACACGATTCATTATTCTTGAAGAAGCCTCTTATTTGGCTGACGCAGTGCTCCTCAAACATCCCATTACCTTAAGAAGACTTCACCTCGGTGATCGCTTTCACTCTGATAGTCCTAGCTCTCCCCCGGTGATGCCCTTTGTTTGGCTTCGGATGAGACAAAATGGAAGAGATTTTAAAAAAATATTCTCTACTCCCATTTCCTATAATCTTCTGTACTTGGAGTTTCTAAAGTACAGTGGTGGTTGATTTTTAGTTCCTTTAAAAATTGAAGCTAAAAAACAACAACAAAAAAACATTATCCTGTTTACTATTTAGATACTTAGAAGTAGAATTAAGTACTCAAACTCATGTTTGGTATGTTAAAGTAAAACCAGGTGTGGCTTGGAGGACCAAAGAAATTGTTAGCGATAAATGTATTTTCCTGAGATCCATTGTATTCCTCTGTAAATGACTCTGCGCTAACGTCCCCTAGAAGTGTTCTCACTAAGGTCTCATGTATCCACAGGCTGCCATCTTATCGGTAAATGCAAAACAACTGCCTTGTTTTACTCTGGTCTGTAGTGCTTTAAAATTACCTTTTCATATCCACGATTTTGAGTCCATTTTGAGGACTTTTAACACTGTTCAATGAAATTGTCTGAATTTTATGTATGTGTGTGTATATTCCTGAAGTTGATTCTATTTAAATTATTAAAGTGTTATATAACTTTGTTCTTGTGAAAGTACTTTCTTCTTGAACCACTTTAGCAACGGTACCCTCCAGAAGGGCTTCTGGCAGCCAGGAAGCTATTAGAAGGTAAATCCCAGTGACGGCACAAATTCACCGGAGGGGCTCTGTTTTCCTTGGCATTTGGTTTGGCTGTTATGGTCCTCAGCTCCTGCCGTCATGGGAGGGGAGGTCTGGGATGAGAGAGAGGAATCTGAGTAGCCTCCATGTCCCTGTTCTTTTAAGCGTAGTTTGAGTAACTCCAGCTCCCTGGGAACTGGCTCTCCTTTCCTTGTGGAAGGAGCTGGGGAAGGAAGGGCTGGGGCCCGGAGCCTGGCAGTGCCAGGAGTGCCAAAAAGTTTTCCTCCTTCTAGAGAAGAGCCCATCTTGTGCAAAACTTCCAAGTAGGTGCAAAGATGCTGCTGCCTCTTTCCTGTCTGTGCCTGGTGACTTCATCTAACGCTCTCTCCCGAAGGTCTCGTCTCCATTCCCTGCTCCACCTGGCAGAGGCCCTGCCCTCACTGGTTGTCAGCACGTCCAGGAGCTGGTGCACTGGAGAGGCCGGTGGCTCCTCAAAGGATTCAGTAGACTGTTGGGTAGCAAGTGTCATCCCCAAATTAGTAAGGCTTATGGAAATAAAATATTCCTAAAACCTAACTCACAGATGTCAATAAAACAATGAGCTTCTCAAGGAAGCTCAAGATGCTTCTGAGTTTTTCCCCTAAAGATTGATTGGCCGAGTTCCTTGTTTTGTCACTTAGTGAAAGAGCAGTGCAGGCACCAAAGGATTTAAAGAAGGCTGCCTGTCAACACAGAACAGCTGGGTTCATGATGGCCTGAATCTATTTTTAAAAAAATATATTTTTATTGATTTTTTACAGAGAGGAAGAGAGGGGTAGAGAGTTAGAAATATCGATGTGAGAGAAATATCGATCAGCTGCCTCTTGCACACCTCCTACTGGGGATGTGCCCACAACCAAGGTACATGGTACATGCTCTTGTCCAGAATCGAACCTGGTACCTTTCAGTCCGCAGGCCGACACTCTATCCATTGAGCCAAACCGGTTTCAGCTGCCTGAATCTATTAAGATGCTGAAGGTGAGGAGAGCATCTTAATAGATGAGTTCAGGGGAAATGTAAATTCTGGACAGCACCACCCTCCCAGAGGCATTTGCTTTGTTTATTTTAATCTTTATTATGGGAAAATGAAATGTACAATGATAGACCATACATGAGTACATGAACTTCCATATACTTATCACCCAGCTATAATAAGTCTCAACTCCTGGCCATCTTGATTCCTCCATATTTCCCATTCCCACTGGACTATTTCTTTTATCCTCACTAGAGGATATTTTTTTCCATTGATTTTTTAATTTATTTTTTAGAGAGAGTGGAGGGGAGATAGGAGAGAGACAGAGAGAAACATCAATGTGTGAGAGACACGTCAATTGGTTGCCTCCCGAGGTACATGCCCAAGGCTCAACTCTCCAGGGACCCACTGGATTATTTCAAAGCAAATTTTAGACATCATTTAAAAATTTTTAATTTATTTTTAATTTAATTTATTTAGCAATTACAGTTGACATAAAGTGTATTAGTTTTAGGTGTACAACATAGTGAATGGATGTTCATATTCCTTACGAGCGATAAACCAAAGCCAGGCTACATCTCATCCATAAATATTTCTGATTATCTAAACAAAAAAGAAATCATGTAAAAAAAAAACAACCAGAAACCATTCATTATACAAACAAAATCAATGCTTGTACATTAAACATCTAGTCAGCATTCAATTTCCCCTATTGTTTCATAAGTTCTTTTTTACAGTTTATTTAAATCCAGATACAAATGAATTTCATACATTGCAATTGGTTGATCTGGTTTATTTTGTTGTTAATCTTCAAGCGAGGATATTTCCCCATTGATTATTAGAGTGGAAGGGAGGGAGAGAGACGGAAACATTGATGTTAGAGAGACACATTGATTGGTTGCCTTCCACCCGTGCCCTGACCAGGGTCAGGGATGAGTCTGTAATTAAGGTACGTGCCCTTGACCAGAATCAAACTTGTGACCTTTCAGTCCACAGACGGATACTTTACCCACTGAGCCAAACCATTCAGGGCTATTGTGTGTGTGTGTATGTGTGTGTGTGTGTGTGTGTGTGTGTGTGTGTGTGTGTGTGTGTGATGAAAGGTGTATAACAAAGTTTACCATCTTTGTATAGTGCAGTAATAACTATATGCACAATGTTGTGCAACACATTTTTAAAACTATGCCCATTGAACAACTCCCCTTTGTCGCTTCCTTCCAGCCCCTGATAACCACTAACCTACTTTGTTTCTGAGTCTGACTACTTTAGGTACCTCATATATGTAAAATCATGGGTATTTGTCTTTTTGTGATTGGCTTTTTTTCACTTAGCATGATGTCCTTAAGATTCATCCATGTTTAGCATATAATAACATTTCCTTCTTTTAAAAAAATATATTTTTTATTGATTTTAGAGAGGAAGGAAGAGGGAAAGACAAATAGAAACATCAATGATGGGAGAGAATCATTGATTGGCTGCCTCCTGCAAGGCCCCCACTGGGGATCGAGTTCACCACCTAGGCATGTGCCATTGACTGGAATCAAACCTTGGACATTTCAATTCTCAGCCCGACACTCTATCCACTGAGCCAAACAAACTAGGGTGGATTTCCTTCTTTTTGAAGGTTGAATAATTTAGGGTTTATATAAACTACGTTTTCTTTTATTACTATTAATTTTTTAATCCACACCAGAGGATATATATTTTTAAATATATTTTATTGATTTTTCACAGAGAGGAAGAGAGAGGGATAGAGAGTTAGAAACATCGATGAGAGAGAATCATCGATCAGCTGCCCCCTACTGGGGATGCGTCCGCAACAAAGGTACATGCCCTTGACCAGAATCAAACCCAGGACCTTTCAGTCCCCAGGCTGACGTTCTATCCACTGAGCTAAACCGGTCCTGGCCCAGAGA